TGTTAAAAACAAAACATTAGGCCTATTTATGCATCTGTAACTGCAGTTTAAATGCATCCATGTCCCCTCTGAGATACTTAAACTGTGTAAATACATCTAAATGCTATGTCAGATGCAGATTCCAGAAATGTTTTCTTATGTGGGAATGAAAGACACTAAGTACCGGATGAAGTGCTTCTTATTCTTACCCAAAAATACAAAATGGAAGAAAGAGTTAAAACTGAACACAATCTTGCTATTCAAGTATGAACATTTATTTATTTGCTTCTTTTCCATTTTGCATTTACTTGTACTTTTACTTTCAATACTTATATACTTAAGATTAAAAAAATACTTTTCGTACTTAAGTACAATAAATCTCACATACTTTAAGACTTTTACTCAAGTAATATTCTAAACGGTGACTTCAACTTCTACCAAAGTCATTTTCTGGTAAGATATCTGTACTTTTACTTGAGTATGGCTTTCAGGTACTTTATACACCACTGACAGTAACCATATAGTTTATCTGTGATATTTGTAGTAAGTCTAGTAACTGCAAGTTTAACATAGGTTTTACTACAGTAAGTATAATTTTAATTATGGTCTTTGCATTTAAACCATAAAGGAAAATCAAAATCATAACTGGTTATAAAAATGGTTAATTTGTGGTATGTGAAATGTGGTTTCTGCCACAAACTAAGTTGCTACAGTCATGATTACTGCAGTATCACTATAGTAAATGTTTAAACAATGGTTAACTCTCTTAAGGAGGGCCGGCCTGGGGCAGTGTTCCCTCTTCTCCACTCTGACCTGTATGTGCAATGGAGGGGTTGTTGCAGTCCTTTACTGCCCCTTAGTGCATGTTTGAGGTATTGCAAAACATTGGGCAGCTGTAATTCAAAAATGAATGGATCAATCAGAAAAGGAATTGTTTATTACTATAAAAAAAAAACAGGTTACACTTTACTTGAAGGGGTGTGCATAAAACCTCCTTCATATTCATGACGTTTCATGTCATGATTATGAAGGTGCCATGTCAGTCTTATGCACACCCCTTCAAGTAAAGTGTTACCAAAAAACATACTTTAATGAACATTGTTGTGCTGAAACAAAAGTCAAAATCAAGTTCCTACAAAAAATCAGTTCAGTACCTTCCATGTTTTATATCTCCATTCACTTACTTGCCCTTCTCCTCTCTCTCAGTCTCCCTGCATAAAGACAGTCAAAAAATCTTTAGAAATCACTTGATAATTTGTGCTCTTTTCCTTAAATTGCTAATTCTGTTTATCTTCTTCTTCATCTCTTTATCTCTCTCTCATTCTCTCCAGCTGAGTTTCAGTGTCTCAGCTATAAAGGAGAAAATGTGTGTGTTCTCCAGGATGGCTTTAGCGGTGGGTTTCCCGGCTCCATGTCCGCTTCGTGTGTCCACTCTGACCAGCAGCGGCTGGGTTTGCCCGGGGCTGCGGCCCATGCCATGCTGGAGAGTGGCCACATATTTCAAAGTGTGCAGGGGAACTACACGGTCATCGTGATCGGCTGTCAGCAGTAGCATAGCGGGGTACGGGGTCCCGTCTCGAGGGGTCTGAGGAAGGTTATGGAGAGGAGAGTATCTGTTGAGGAAAAGAGCTAACTTTTTTTTCCCACACATATTGTAGTATGACATTTACAATAACTTGTTGGTTGTACGGTTATACGCTAATGGTCAAAAGTTTAGAATAATTCAGATTTTCTACAATGTTTTTTGAAGTCTCACCAAGGCTGCATTTATTTGATCAAAAAATACACTAAAAACAGTGATATTGTGAAATATTGTTATATTTTAAAATAACTTTTTATTATTATTATTATCAATGTTGAGAACAGATTTTGAAGCTTAATATTTTGTGGAAACCGTGGTAGGAATAAAAAAAAATGCATTGTGGACGCATTATGTATTATGGCCATATAAAAATTAATAAAGGATGCTTTAAACTGATCAAAAGTGACATTTATGTTACAAAAGATTTCTATTTATAATAAATGCTCTTCATTGAACTTTCTATTCATCAAAGAAACATGGACAAAATATATCATGGTTTGCATGAAATTATTAAGCAGTAAAAAAAATTAAATTCTAATAATATTTCACAATATTACAGTTCTACTATATTTTTGATCAAATAAGTGCAGCCTTAGTGAGCATAAGAGACTTCTTCCAAAAACAATAAAAAATCTTAATGATTCCAAACTTTTAACCAGTAGTTTATGGCTTTCAGAAGACAGGAATCCTTACTTGATGAGCCATTTAAACTGTTCAGGATCATCGGCACAGCCGTAGTCAGTGGTCCAGGCATGACCGATGGTGAATTTGTGGAACTTGAGCATGTCCATGACCCCAACCTTAGCTACCGCACAGCCGAAGAGCTCGGGCTGTTGATTTACACATGCCGCTGGAAAAAGAAACACATAGATTACTCTTCTTCCATTGTATACAATGACCAAAGACAGTCCACATTTACCAGACACACTGACTCACACACCTGTACTTAAATGAGTGGTCTTAAAAATGTTTTGGATTACTCAAATAGTGCAGCCCGATTTGTCACACCTCACATTTTTGACTAAACATAGGGATCAACATAGACATACTAACCTAGCTAACACATTCAGCATAAAGAAGCTTTTTTCAAATGCTTAGTAATTTATTCACCGCCACTGTTTTCAAAACGTTGCACCGCCTACACACATTTATCTTGTTCTGATTGTTACCTCACACCCACACACACCAGTAACCCAAAACCAGGTGCAGATGGAATCTGCAGATTTTTTGGCTCCGAATTTCAGGGGGAAATTTGTTCAATTTTTGAGGAATGAAAAATGAATTAAAAGTTAAACGGTGTTAAGGTGAGCTCATGATATTCGAACACACAACAGGCTGGAAACTTGTAGTACCTTTTGAATGACGTGTTCAATTCTGTGAAAAATCTGAAAACGTTTAAACAGATTCCATGTGCCTCCCACAATCAACCGCACATGAATTCTGCACAATCCTGCATGTACACAATAACTGCGCTGACTCAATCCTGTCTCTCCTATGAATAAGACAGAGATTGAAACTGTATTTGCACTGGCAGCTGGTGAGTGCCGCCCATCTAATGACTGTATCTCCTACTAAACGTGCTGTTTAATGAGAGTGACAATGTGTGCTCGCTGCTAAGTCTTTAACTGAGGAGCAAGTGCTTCTTCGTCCCTCGCAGATGCTGGTGTGTGCAACTTATGTGAGAAAGCTCTGAGTGTGAATGCCAATGTCATGTTTACTCAACAGATGAGCTAGCTGTGAGTAACAGCACAGATTGCACACATCGTTAGAGCCGCACAGCTGCATGTCCATAAGTTTCCATTATAGCACCACTCTAATTTAACCATGTGCGAAGGCGTATGTGTATGTGTGCTAAGACTGTCGAGTCTTAATGGTTGTGTTCTTCATTAGCTGGAGATGATTGTGTCTATCTGCCTTCCTTAGACCACTGATGCCACACTCTTCAAAGAAACTCACCCACGAGCAGGCCGCCGTTGGAAGCTCCATTGATGGCGATCCGGCTGGCCGTGGTGTATCCCTCCTGGATCAGGGACTCGGCAGCACCCTGGAAGTCATCAAAACAGTTCTGCTTGCTTCCAAGAGTGCCAGCTGAAATCAAAAATCTTTCTTAAAGACTTACAGTTTGAAGCAGCACATGTCAAGGGCGGGGGGATGAGGTATTAGGTAATATTAACTTGTAATTCAATTTCTCCTATATACTAAGAATTTTAATATGTGTAAGATACAGCCATAGAAATATGACTTCTCAAAAAAAAAAATGGCACACTTTACTCACGTAAGGGGTAAAATTAGTCATTTGGCAGTATGTGAACAAATGTGTTATTTATTCAAATATTATATTATATGTTGCGGCAAAGTACAGTACTTGTGTTACCTTAAAGCTTAAACCAGAAAAGGTTTGCAATATTTGAATGTGGTTAAACTACTGTAACAATCTGGGGTTTTTTTGTTTTTTTTTCATTTTTAGAAAAAAATAAAAATAAATGATATAAGAAAAAAGGTTTCTTGGATCCTTGGACTAAACAAACTAAGTCATTATTATTTCCACATTTATTATAACCACATTTATCATGTGCATTTCTTAATTAAAAGCTGTATATGATGGGCCTTTTCTAAATATATATGAAACAACCAGGTATTTAAACCTGGATGCACATTTTCTTTTTCTTAGGTATAACTGGTTGCCATTTTTTCTGAAAGTTTAGAGGAAAAAAAAAATCTAGTTCAGCCCTATACAGGAACTCTGCTTTTCAAACACATAATCCAGTGGCAGTGATCATCAAACTAGTGACTCAAACAGATACTTCGCTGGTATTAAATTCACGTTCATGCAAAGTAGTCAGCGACCTTCTGCGAGTTTCAGACCTTCTTTACAAATTTTCAAGTCGGACTAGCGTTAAAAAAAGTTGACTGACTAATTAGAGCTGCTCTGAATTCAATTTCAATTCATTCATTCATTCCTTCATTTATCTTTCAAAAGGGCATTAAACACATCTGAGCGTGAATGCAGTGAGGATACCTTTGTGCCAAGTTTGGCCATACTCTCCTCCTCCTCTGATGTTAGCTACAGCCAGGATCCCACCCAGGTGTCTAATAAAGAGCAGGTATGCAGTACTGCACATACAGACAGAGAAATAATTGGTTATTTTGGGATATTCATATTTCACATACTCTCTTCCTTTTCCATCCCATTCCATTTGCAATCTTTAGTCAAACACAAACAGAGAGCTTTATACTAACTTGTAATATGGCTGAATTGAGTTCTCAAAGCCTCCATAACCATGCAGAAATACTGGATGAGAGCTGTCTCTTTCTATGTCACGTGCATGTACCAGGAACATTGGGATCTTTGTGCCATCTTTACTGGGGTAAAACACCTGTAATACACATATATACATATATATATATATATATATATATATATATAAGGTGTATTATTACACTGCCAGTCAAAAGTTTGGAATAATTACAATTTTCTACACTTTTTTTTTTTTAAAGAAGTGTCTTATGCTCACCATGACTGCATATATTTGATTAAAATTTCAGTGAAAACATTACTATTGTGAAATTATTACAGTTAAAAAGAACTGTTTTCTATTTGAATATATCTTTAAAATGTAATGTTATATTCAGCAGCCATTACTCCGGTCTACAGTGTTACATGACCCTTCAGAAATTATTCTAATATGCTGATTTGCTTAAAATGATTAATAAGGTTCTTATTATTATCTGTTGAAAACTGCTTAATAATTTTTGTGGAAATCTCTAAACACTTTATTTCAGGATCCTTTGATGAAAACAAAATTTCCTCTAAAATATTAAGCAAGATGATAATAACCAAAAATGTTTCTTATGCACCACATCAGCATATTAAAATGTTTTCTGAAGGATCATGTGACACTGAAGACTGGAGTAATGGAGCATAAGAGACTTTTTTCAACAGCATTAAAAAAAATCATAATTATTCCATATTTTTGATAAGTATTGTACATATTATATATTTGTAATATTGAAGCTTCCTGTAGCCTGTGATTCATGTGTTATTTCAGGACAGAGACTGCAGCCTGACCTGAGTTGTCTGGTAGTCACTCGGGTTGATGCCTTTTACTTCCACCTGCCGGAAGATCGTGGGCTCTGGGTTGGGTTGACTCAGGTCACAGTGGTAGATTATGCCTGAGCGATTAGATATGAAGAATAAAAACACTTTTCTTGCTCTGGAAGTCTATGTGATCTCCTTTTTACATCTACAGTAAATGCACATACTGGGGTGTCCTCATACTTTAGGTCATGTAGTGTTTTTTGGCATAAATGTTGCACACATTTTGATTATTTAAGTGTGATTACCTGGTGTAGTGAATGAGGTGAACTTGTAGAAGAAGTCAGGGTGCTTCTTCTTGCAGCTGAGGCCGACTACAGTGCCCACATCTAGTGGCAAGTCTCTGATCAGTTTCCCTGACTGCAGCTCATAGAGCTGTAAGATGTCCTTCACATCATGCACATAATTCACCAGCAGATAGCACTGGTTCACACACTCCACAAATCCTGCAGACAAGATATAAACAATTCAGGCTGTTAGTTCTCTGTTTTTATTGGAAATGAGTTAATGATAGTGTGGGTAAAGAGGAAGTGTATGTGTGTGGGTGTGTGTGTGTGTGTGTGTGTGTGGAGGCTTGTGACAGTTTCACCCACAGATGTTGACTACTGCTGAATACTAAGAAAATTGTTTCCAAAATGTTTAAACCGAAACATTATAAGGAAAAATGAAGGGGTAACCGGGGCTAGTTGTCACAAGAGTTACTGTAATTATGAGATAAAGGTCCAATTACACAAATTAGTGTTTTTCCTAGCAGTGGTTTTGTATGTTGCTTTCAGCTATATATTAAAGGTAGTTTTATGTGTTTTAACTTTATACTATTCATATATATATATATACACTGAACAAAATTATAAATCATCAAAAAAAATCCTGAAAAAAATGTGTAATGGCTTACGCAACAATAATAGGCAGCACAAGTGTTTTCATGCTTGATAATAATAAGAAATGTTTCTTAAGCAGCAAATCAACATATCAGAATGATTTCTGAAGGATCATGTGACACTGGAGTAATGGCTGCTGAAAATTCAGCTAAATCACAAAAAAATCACAAAAATAAATGACATTACAAAATATATTACATTTTTTTAATTTTTTTTACTATTTTTTATATTCATGCAGCCTTGTTGAGCAGGAAACAGATTTCTTTCAAAAACATCTTACAGACCCTATCTTACATAAATTTATATATAATATAATTTAGTGGTCCTTTCAGTTTCAGTCGTTCCTTAATTAAAATGTGTTTTAGTTTTTTTTTTATTAATTACATTTTTCTTTGCTATTAGGCATCCCACATGCCACACATTTCCACATGCAAACTGACCTGTGATGCCATTGGGCAGCTGCTGCAGGTCACAGTACCACAGACGGTTCACTGGCTCACAACCCTCGGTGATGGACAGCACAGCATACCTGCCATCGTCAGAGACCTGGACAGACAAGGAGAAAAAGAGAAACAATGGAAGGATTGTGTAAGAAAAAGAGAACCATGCACACAAAAAAGAAGAACAATTAATTTTAGCTTAGGTCATTTTGTCAAATTCTTTATAAATATTTCATCACATTGCATGAATCGTAGGAGCAAGTTGCATCATTTTATCTTCCCAAAAAGTGGGTTTTGTATAAATTTGGTGTTCTCTTACAGTAAGGCTACTGTGCCATTTTGGGTTGTCAGGAAATTCTGCCACCAGGATGTCTTCTGATTGGCTTGTGCCAATGACATGGTAGTAAAGCTTCTGGTTTAGGTTTGTTGTGGTCTCAGTGCCTAGAATGGACATAAAAGGAGCAAATCACAGAAAGTCAACATGAACTGCCATTCATAACCTGTTTTACTTCCGTACTGTAGAAGAAGTGTAGGGCGGGAACTGGATTGTGAAAGCTGGTTTGCCTATGCCACACTGGAAGCACCTTAAGTGATGTCGGCTAAGAAGGAAAGTAGTGTAGTTGGCCATCAATGTGTACATACCATCAGCTTTGCCATGCTGTCGAGGGTAGCAGTTGTAGAAGATGCCTTTGGCATCATGAGTCCAGGCCAGGCAGCTGAACTTTACCCTCTCCAGAACGTCTTGCAGTTTGGTGAGTTCATCGGCCTTCAGGAATTGTACAGTCACCCAATCAGAGCCTGCACTGCTCAGGCCATAGGCAAAATACTCACATTCCTCTGACAGGCGACCCACTGCACATCAACAAGTAGAAAAAAGACATGAAAATTATCAACAAGCTATGATGAAATCCAAATTTGGTAATTTAAGCACAAAATTGTCAACTTTAATGGTGCGATTGAAGCTAATGCACTCTAAATGGCAAATATCAATATAAAGAAACTCTGCAAAACAAAGAGGCGTTTGAAAGAGGGTGTGCAAAAGAGTAAGAAAGACAGATAGAAAGAGATCAAAGGAACGAAAGGCAAAAATGAGGAAAGACAAAGCTGTAAATTACAGCAATGTGAAGGATTCTTGGCAGACGTGCTGTTGGGTTACAGTAATAAAAAGCTGCGGGTATTCCTCAGACATCTATCAAAAGTTTAGCAACATTAGATTTACAGGCAATGATTAAAGAAAAAAAATGGTTGCCTATGTAAATGTGCAGTTGAATTAAACTGATTCCTTAAACACCAGTCATATATGAATCTGTCTTTGAGCAGTGAGGATACGCATAACTCAAAAATTCCAGCTATGGATTTTACTGAAGGACACACAGTCCCTCAGGACTGAAGCTTATCTGCAAACCTGTTCAGCAAAGACATCAATAAACTATTATAACAGCCACTCCAGGAAATTACTGAGAAGGGAAAGTAGTTTGGTTTCCCATTTATGCAAATAATCTGGTGTAAAAATTAGGGATGCACCGATACCACTTTTTCCAGTACTCGCCCGATACCGATACTTTTATTTTTGGTACTTGCCGATACCGAGTACCGCTACTGATATTTTTATTGCATAGTGTTGTGTGTTGTGGGGGGGGGGGGCTTAATGAGAACACAAATGTGTATAATGAAATACAGTAGGTATTACACTTCCTATGTCCTCATAAACCAAATAGCTCAACCATTTATATTTATATAAAAATTATACTAAATCTTTTTTTTTTTTTTTGAAAATCTAAAAATGCAGGTTTTTTCTGTGACGTAAGGGAATAGAAAATACAGTTTTTACAGTATAAAAACCATTATGCCTATGGAGAGTCCCTGTAAACAAGGTTTTTGAAAATCTAAAAATGCACAAAGTTTCCTGTGAGGGGTAGGTTTAGGGGTAGGGTAGGTGTAGGGCAATAGAAAATACGGTTTGAACAGTATAAAAACCATGACGCCTATGGAGAGTCCTCATAAACCATAAAAACCAACATGTGTGTGTGTGTGAGAGAGAGTGTAATACTTTTTTTTTTTTTTGCAATCCCGTACATCTCAAGAGCTCCACAAATAGAAAGACCTAAACTCTCACCTCAGATATTTACCAGTTTTATGTTTATGTTTTAGAAATATATTATTTTTTACTTAGTATGATTGTTTTTTTTTTTTCGTGCACTTCATATACGTATTAATGTATTTATAGAAATGTTTTTTTCATGTGCTCAATAAATTAATTTTTATTTATAGAATCCAAATGTTTATTAGTATTATATATGTTTTAAAATTCTACATTCTTTTATTTTAATTAGTATAATTGTTATTATGCACTCATTTATTATCATTTTCTCCAAATGTATGTTTTTTTTTTGTTAGTTTGTTTGTTTTTGTAGTTTGACTATGGATTTCTTGTCTCTTTTTAAACAGGAGTGAAATCTGTCAAGACATGTAAGGAAAGGATAAAAGAGAAGAGACTGGGAGTGATTGAAAAGGAAAAACTAGGACTTTAGTGTAAGTTATGTGTAAGTGTGTGTAAATGTATTATGAATCAATCAATCAATCAAACTCACTTTTGAGAGCCACAGTTCCATCCTCTGAGAGAGTGTTTGGGTCAAAGAACACAGATGCAGGACTGTTTAAAGAGTCCTGCACATAGAGCACATCCTGGTTCTGCAGACCCTTGTTATGAGAATAGAAATATCTACAATAGAATGTTGATTAAATGTATTTAATTTCACTTATTTAAGTATAAGATGGTATAAGCATTGCACAAGGTGACATTTTATGCCGTGTGTTATTTTAAAAGCGCATTTATTGGATTAGATGTTTTTTAATGTGAAATATTTTATGAATGTGAAAAAAGCTTGTCAGTTTGGAAACTTTGTGCGGTGGGCCTGGGCTGTGTTTGGTGTTGTCTGTGTGATCTGATCGCTACCTCTTTCCTCTCTTGTAAGGACAGCTGTATTTGGGGTAGTTGTAGAGCTCCATGAGGCGCTGGTGAAACCGCTCTTTGACTGTACACTGTTCCAGGAATGGCATGGTCAACTTATTCTGCTCTTCAACAAACATCTGCAGGGCGGGTGAGGGACACTGTTAAAATGTCGTTGTCATGCACACAGAGAACTTGTTTATATGTAAATTTTTCTACACATTTCTTTGTTATGTGGGCCAAAGGTGGAGACCAGGAAACAAAACAGGGTGAGCCTAAAAATACGACATACATGGTGGTATGGATTGTTTACCTTGTCCGATAAGAAAGAGAAAGTCGTTTTAGCTCATGAAAGCTTGTAACTGTCTTTTCAGGCAGCATATTAATTGATGTCAGTGTGACATCAGTATTGCAGTAAAAGGATGCTGCAGGGACTTTTATTGTCAGTCGAACCCGTTTGTTTACTTAAACGTTCATATTTTAATAATTTAACAACACATTTGCATGTTCATGGTTCTCTGATGTCAGTTAATGGTCACATGAGCATAAAATATATATCATGTTTTATAAATATTGCTTTAGCAGGTGTTTTGATTAGTTTATTATTTTGAAATTAGTTATTCATATTAATTTTACATTTTGATAATTTCATTAATCATTAGCTTAGTTTGGAAAACCCTACTGTAATTTCTTGTAATGCAAATATGCTGGTGAACCAAGGATGATACAGAATTTAGTTCTAGTGCTAAATGGTTCTTAAACTAATTGGTTCAGTCTTTACAGCATTTTTATTGCAACCTTGGTTGAATAGGGCTTAGAAAGCATTTTTCCCCTTTGAAACCAGGAATAAATCCAATTAACATTAATGTAGGTCTGAGATTGTGAAGAATTTGTATGTGATTTGCATTTGTAGCATAGAATTTGTATATGGTTGTGAACAGAGAAAATTTTGATTGGGCATTGTATCTCATCTTATGAACGACGTTGAATAATAATTACGTATATTATATATTGGCACTGTGGGAATATGGGAAATGCATTTTTGCTTACATTCAGTACAGTACAATAGTACCAGTGTTTTTGGACTCTATATTGACAACTGCTGGCCTGGATGCATGAAGTTAGTATACAGACTTGGCTGTTTTTCTCTGTATTATAATACGCATATCTACAGTGGACATTCTTGGATTCAGTTTTAATGATTTTTTTGTGCTTTGTGGTGGTTCATGCTGGGAAGCGACTGACTGGCATTAGTAGTCAATTTGCATGAGCTAGTCATGGGATGTCGACATCCCATGAGGGGGACACCTGCTTTATGCAGAATAAAACATTTTTCTGAGACTAATACTATATGTCTAGAGAAAAACTGTGATTATACATCATGTTAATGTTCATTTTATTGTATACAACTTTTTTAGTTTGCAAAAAATTACTGAGTGCACATTTAAAGAGACACAGTAGCTGATGGGACCTTCTTTAAATTATTTTTTTTTGATCAAATGCCAACAGTGATCAAGCATCTTCATAAAGGGACTAATCGAACGGTAATTGTTTCTCATGGGGGCGTTAGGTAATTTTAACATTTACAGGGGCTAGTTGGTGATTTTTATTGCAACCTGACTAGAGAATGTTGGTGTTTTTCTACCACCAACTGCAAAAAATTCCCAGCTGTTTTTTTTTTTTGGACAAGCACCAAGTTCATGTTGTGTGTTAATTTAATTTTCACCTGAATCCACATCTCTGTGGAGTTTATAAGAAGGGCTCAATATGAAAGTTGTTTGGTACATTTTTTTGACCCCGGCAAAGCACCACACAAATGAAAGAATTCATATTTAAATATGAATTCTTTAATTTCCCCCAATCATGTGAATGACCATGCAAATTTATTTTTACAGACGTCCACATGAGAAACAATTACCATCCGAATATGACTATGTCTTATTTTATTAGTGTGTAGGGTTAGTATGTAGTAATTTTAATGAAAGCATAACAGAAGTCATTGAGAGGTTGCCTGGTGAGAAGTGCACATTTACCAACATTGTGAGGGTGACCCAAGTTTAAATCATCTCTGGTTATTTCCCGATACCAGCCCTCCCTCTTCTCCCCATCATTTCCTGTCGCTCCTCCACTATCCTATCCCATTAATGATGAAAAGCCCATTGATGATAAAAAAAAAAAGGTCACCTTAGTCTCGTCACTGTCAGGGTCCTCCAGCCAGTGGTATGGATCTGGAACCTTTACTCCATGATAATCTTCCACCTTTGAAACAAAACACCAAAGTTAGGAGCAGCAGGCATGTCTGCACTGGGAGAAAATGGAAACAAGACACATTCGGTTTCCAGGTAGTTGCGTATCTAGTAAACCAGGCCTTGAGGCAAACCCCTCGCTGCTACTAAGGAAACTAATGCAATCAGCTACCATATGCAACTTCTGACACATAACCACTAGATATCAACGCAGACACCACTAAACTCCTCCACTCTCATGATACATGGCAAAAGCTTGTTCGTTGTTCCAGTCAGTCTCTCCTGTCCGCAGTTTGTGCATTTCATGTGTCTTAAAGAAAGAGGAAGAGCAGGCGAATGAATGAAAGACTAGATGTGCAAAACCCCAAGTGAAAGTACCACTGACCTTGCTGTCATCCCTCCGTGCTTCAGGGTATTTGAAAGCCATGTTGGGTGTGTTTTGATAGGTTTTTTTTTTTTGTAATTCTGTGTATATTTGTATGTGTTTGTCCGTATGCTTCACGCCCGGGTGAGTCAGGTCTGAAAAGTGAAAGTGAAATTAAACATGGCTCTCTGTTTCTCTGTTTCTCTCTCTCTCTCTCTCTCTCTCTCTCTCTCTCTCTCACTCTCCTGATTACACAACCAGGCAGCTCTTCAGGCAGGAAATGATTTCAAACTGGATTGGTCAACCAAAAGTGGGCGGAGTTAGAATCTCACAAAGTTCACTACAGTTATTGTTGTGTTGTGCTGTCCTAAAATGTTTTAGTAGGAATTTTAATGTTTTTTTCTCTGTGCTCTTAAAGGCACACTCGTTACTTATTAAAAAAGTTTTACACAAAGAAATTCATAGTATAAAAAGGTAAAAACTGTAAGACATATATAAAATGATTTACAGTACATTTCAGTCATATCAGTTGCCTAATACAAGTGTTTTATCTAACATGAAGAGGGTCACCCTGTGGAGGCAGCAGATGATATTTGACTGTTTTGAGATTATCAGCATCGGCCAAAACCATGCCCGCTTTGCCAAATTGTATCATTTCCAATATCTACAGAGATCATTTGCAATGAGTAATGCACATTTTCAAATATTTCTGAGTGAATTGTGAGCAAATGTTTCAGGAATCTATTTGTCAAATATATTTAATTTTATTGTTTATTTTTTTATTTTTACTAAATTTTGCATAAACATTGTGCTAAATAATTATCAATTTTAATTTTATGGAATTAAGTTTTCAAAAGTAAGTGTTTAAATATTTTGAGTAAATGTTGTTCAAATTTTCTGTTATTTTTCATTCAAGTAGTTAGTTTTTCACATCATTTATATATTATAATGTATTATGTTGTCTCAAAATCCGCAGCCAACTATGATATTGTAGTATTATTTACAGTGGTGTGAAAAAGTGTTGGCCCCCTTCCTGGTTTCTTATTTTTTGCATGTTTGTCACACTTTAATGTCTCTCACTGTGGTTCGCTGGAGTCCCAAAGCTTTAGAAATGGCTTTATAACCTTTTCCAGACTGATAGATCTCAATTACTTTTTCTCATTTGTTTCTGAATTTCTTTGGATCTCGGCATGATGTCTAGCTTTTGAGGATCTTTTGGTCTACTTCACTTTGTCAGGCAGGTCCTATTTAAGAGATTTCTTGATTGCGAACAGGTGTGGCAGTAATCAGGCCTGGGTGTGGCTAGAGAAATTGAACTCAGGTGTGATAAACCACAGTTTTAACAGGGGGGCAAACACTTCTTCACACAGGGCCATGTAGTTTTGGATTTTGTTTTCCCTTAATAATAAAAACCTTCATTTAAAAACTGCATGTTGTGTTTACTTGTGTTATCTTTGACTAATATTTAAATTAGTTTGATGATCTGAAATATTAAAGTGTGACAAACATGCAAAAAAATAAGAAATCAGCAAGGGGGCCAACACTTTTTCACACCACTGTATATACTGTTATAATATTTATTACTGTATATTGCATTTTTATATTTTTAATTTCAGTTTAAGTTTTAGTAATTTTATTATGTGCTTTGTCTTTTTTTATTTTTAGCTTTAATATATGATGCCATAGAAGAACCATTTTTGGTTCTCAGAAGAGCTTTTCAGTGAACAATTAATCAAAGGACCATTACTTTCTTAGTGTGAACGACATTAGAACATTTGAATAATCTGAGGAAACTTTTGCCACCATAAAGAACCTTTTGTACATTAGAAAATTTTCATGGGTGTTCAAGGTTCATCATGGAACCACAGATTCCCATAAAGAACCTTTATTTTTTAAGAGTGAACAGTAACAGCACTGGATCACAATACTAAGAACTTTATCATTATAAGACCACTGTTATTGCAGACTTTTGTTTGTGGAATAAATTAATCAGGGCTGACTGCCAATAGTGCATTTTCAGAATGGCGTGCAATATAAACAAATCATTACTGATCGCACCTTTAAAGTTCAGTGGAAATAAGAATGATTTAGTGATCTTTAGCCATTGTGTAGTGGTCTTATAGACTGAATAAAACAAAAGTAACTTTGTAACTTTAATGACACCAGGGATTGGGAAGATGATCTATTACTTTTACTTGTAGAAAAGCACTCATTTGTATATCATGTTACCATTTTAATGTGCACAAAAACCTCACGCCCAGCCTATTCTGTGCATTTGTTTGCAGATCTTTGTTGACATGCATTTGTAACAGAGTTCCTGGCAGTAATACAGGTTTAGCTCCATCAAAACAGGCATATGCTGACAGAAGGCCTGTCTTGTCAGAAAATAGAGTGTGGAAAGCATGAGGAAGAAAAGGGTTGAAAGAAAGAAATTGAAAATGGTTTGTCCGGCATTTAATTACAAGGCAAGTGATGTTTGTCAGCAGGCGTGTGTGTTTTTGTGGACTTAAGTCACACTTTACATGCCTGTGGTGTGATAGCTGTCACTGGTCTCCATTTATATCCCTCTATGACAAGACCTTTAATGACACACACAAACCCTCAAATAATGACATACCCCCTGCAGTGGTTCTGGTGTGCTTTTAAAAAAGGCTTGTTTTGACATATTCCTATCATGAAAATTTTATTCTGTTGTAGCCATCGAATACATATTCTCCTGACATTGTTTTGGCAGTTAGATTTTTATTAGTGTATTTTTAAGAGAGTAATGTCTGTAAAGATGTAACAACATGAAAGCAGAAAATAATATTCAAAGTTTAGTGCAAATAAGCTTAATAAACAAACTGCAGGTATTTAATCTGGTCTCTCCTTTTCTTAAAAAACACAAAAATCTGGGTTACAGTGATGCACTTACAATGGAAGTGAATGGGATCCATATGTAAATGTTAAAAAAAAACTCACTATTTCAATAGTAGATAAACAACATGCACGTCAATAACATTTTAATGTGAAAACAAATTGCTTACAAATTTTTTTCTGTGTGAAGTTTAAATGCAATTTTATAACTTTGTTGCCATAACATTGACTGTAGAAATGACTAAAAGAACTTTAAAGTGCAAATAATACCCAAGTTTTAACAGAAAAAGTAATGCAAGTACTATTGTAAGCTTCGCATTTGTGACCCTGGACCACAAAACCAGTCTTAAATCACTTGGGTATATTTTTAGCAATAGCCAAAAATACATTGTATGGGTCAAAATGGTCGATTTGTTTTTATGCCAAAAATCATTAGGATATTAAAGGCACAATATGTACGATTTTTTTATGTACGAAATATCCAAAAACCACTAGAACAGTGTTATATATTTTGCTGACTTGTGTACTTACATTATCCCAAATGTTTCGAAGAATGTTTAAATCCAGAGAAATAAGCGATTAGTCAACAGAAGAGACAGACGGCTGCACGTGAGTGTCCTGCGTAATACTTGTTTATACAGTAGATCTGCTGTTGGAATTATTACTTGCTGCTAGGAAGGAATATTTCGTTTTCTGCCTATTTTTTTAACTAGTGACACGGACCGTGTCCATAGTGTCATTGTGTCGCCTGCCAATGACGTCATAACCCCTCGATTTCCGCTTAATATGTCGTGTGTTTTAATAGACCGGTGACGACCGCACAGAGTAGCATTATAACAGAACTTTCAAATGTAGCTAGTATGATAAAACAGTGCTGCTTTTTTCCCCCCACATACGCACGACCAGAAGGAGCGGAAGCGGTCGACTGTGGCATAATAAAAGCTCCGCTGCTTTCGAGCCGTGTGTTGCGCTCGTTCAGCGGCCTCGTTTCGCTTCGACGGCTTTCAGCCTCACCCTGCTTCATTCTACTACGTTAATAAATCATTAGCTCATCCATGAACATGATTTCTGCCCGAGTCTCGTCGGATTGCATCGGCTGTGGGGATGAAGACCACAACTCCCATGATTCCACACTCAGTCAAGGCGTCATCAAACTACGCCTTTGATTCTTTGTTTATTTTTAATACGCACCCTCTAGCGGCGAAAATTACATATTGTGCCTTTAAGTAAAGATCATGTTCCATGAAGATATTTTGTAAATTTCCTACCGTAAATATATAAAAACTTAATTTTTGATTAGTAATATGCATTGCTAAGAACTTCATTTGGACAACTTTAAAGGCGATTTTCTCAGTATCTTGATTTTTTTGCACCCTCAGATTCCAGATTTTCAAATAATTGTATATCAGCCAAATATTGTCCTATCCTAACAAACCATACATCGATCGAAAGCTTATTTACTCAGCTTTCAGATGATGTATAAATCTCAATTTCAAAAAATTGACCCTTATGACTGGTTTTGTGGCCCAGGGTCACATTTGTGCTTTTAAATCCTTCATTTTAAATCCCTCATTCACTTCCATTGTATAAGTGCCTTACCTTACTGAAAACAAGGACATTTTTTTTTACAGTAATCAATGTTATGCCACAAATTCTGTTGATTGAACTTGTATTGAACCCAAAATTATTCCTTTAAATGGTTAACTGCCTTGACTTCTTGCTAACCTGTTGCAAAACAGCAAAACATATGCTGAAGGCAAACAAGAAGACAAGCTGTAACCAATCTTCAGGCCAAAAATCATATGGAAGCTGAGGGTCAAAGTGTCAGAGACAAAGAAATTAACGCTCTGCTTGCAAAGGAATATGATTCAAGGGGGAATCCCATACTGCCCATAGCTGCACTGATGGGAAGCTCAATTCTGAAACGAGTGGGTGCAGCGGGGATTGATTTTGTTACTTTAGTATGGGAAGAATCTGAAGGCACCAGACAGGGAGTGAGATTTGAAACACGAACATGTATCACCAACTCTGTTGCTTTCCAAATGTCTCTGGGGTTGAAACCAGTCCTGGAGAGTCCCAAACTGAGTAACCTACGGTAGATCAGTGGTTTGTGTGTCAACCTGTTCTTGCTCTTAAATTACTTGTCTGGAACTCATCAACCACCAAAAACAGGAATTGCACAATATACTCATATTTCTCATACACAGACAAGGTAGTAATATTCATCCTTGCATGACCACTACCATATGTTTATTTTATAGAGCATAATTCTGAACTAGACTGTTTGATAATTCTTTATGG